TGATGAGAAGGCAGTGAATGTACTAGTGGAAGAGATTTGAGGATGTTGACTGAGAGGAGCCTGAAGCTTGTTCTTTTCTTGAGTTTTATCGCATTTTGTCTCTGAGGAAATTCTTTCGTGTATGGTAGACTGTTGATATCTTACGGCTTTGCCTTGTACCGCAACAGGTTTGCCGAGGCACGCATAGGCAAGCCGAAGCTAGTGCGCGAAACGTCTCGCCTCACAGTCGGCGCTGCACTGCGCAATCCGATCAAGACAGCGCGGAGACTGATGGACAAACCCGAGGACGTGCTCCAGGGCATTGTGTTCAAGGTGAGTGGACTAACAGTTCTATCGTTTCCCCACCCAGACGTGGCCCATAGTAGCAGAGAAGGACCGCTCCTTGGTGTCAACACTTGGCCGTGGGTTGCCTGCAAGTACTCGCATTGCATTGTTGCTGATATACATGTACAGTCGTCGCCAAAAAAATCCGGCCAATGCCAAGTATACGCGTACATAGGTATGGTAGGTAGATCTACGCGGTACTTCATCGCGGGTTCATGCACTGGAGAGCGGAGTGGCACATGCACTACACTAGTCTAGGCCATTGTACTGCCACTGGACTGCACTGAACAGTCTGCGCCGCACTCTGCCTGCTGCAGTCGGGACGGGTTGAGCACTGCGCCGAGCCTGAGTCTGACTCTGAGTAAGTGTAGAAGGCGACGGTTTCAAATAGGACATACCGGTAGGTTGCAAACCGGAACGGACTCAATATTCACTTTCTCTCTTGGTATTTTGATTAGAAAACATATGTCACAGTGAGACTACGATGTGTTATAACTTATACTCCGAGCCAAAATTTCATGGCTCTGCGATGACCAGAAGCGCCACACCAAGCAGGTGAGTTTTTGACGTGTTGCTTCGCACCGCGACTTGAGTTTTACGACTTTCGAAAAATCAACTTCTTGTCGCAGGTAAACAGCGGCTCGCCTCTCGCCAATAAAGCACCGCATGCCAATCAAAACTAATTGTTACTCTGTACCGTCGTGGAGCGATAGCATTTACCTAATTTCAGACTAATAGAGTGAATTTGACGTGCACTCTAAAACCTTTCCGATTTGGTGCCACCTCTGATTTGAAGCGAAAAATTGGGCAACTTGGAGGCAATGGGTCAACACAAAGGAGTGGCTCAGTTCGATTGACTCTGGCCTCAGAGCAAACTTCAACATGCCAGTTTCCTTCCACAAACATATTTCGAGTGAACAATCAACGCTGATGATAGGTTTGCATGGTTTGGGCCTATACAAATTTGGCTGACCTGTCAAGCCGTTGTCGCCTCTACAAAGTCATGGTGTATGCGAGCCTGTCAGCATGTGAACAGTGAAGTAACTGCAGACCCGCGGTCTACCAGCACCACGGCACTAGGCACTACCACTATCAAGACTTGAACTAATACTTGAAGTATGATACAGTGCATGCGGCCCAGTACAGCTACCGGTAGCTAGCATCGCATTTGGCCGGATTTTTTTGGCGACGACTGTACTAATACCAAGAGTAGATAAACAAGAGTGTGCAACTCCGGGATGGGTAGGCCCACGGCGGAAATTTTTGTTGACGTAATCTTTTCGACGACGCACTCGCTGCGAGTCTTTCGGAAAGTTTTCCCTCGTGCTCTTGGCCGGCTTTACACTGCAAGGTCGGTGCCCAGCACGTGCGCTCACACGATCTGCGGCAAAATGCGCGTTCTTCTGAAAAAAGGTGACGTCAACAAAAAATTCCGCCGTGGGCAGAGGTATCTGCAGATTGTGCAGGAGAGATCCGGAGTTGCACACTCTTGTTTATCTACTCTTGCTAATACACAGCTGTGGATACTAGCAGAGCTGTTACCAACACGATGGAGATGCTACAGAAAGGAATGATCACACGTGTGCTTGACTCGGTGCTGCTCAGCTCTGGCTGATGCACAGCTGATGATATGCAGAAGTGTACATGACTGTATTGTCAAGTGTGGCTCCAGTGTTCTAACTAGATTGAAACTGGAGAGGGGGGGGGGGGGGGGCAATTTGTATGTTGTTGTAAGACGTTTTCACTAGGGCTCAAACGGTTAGTCCGATTAACCGGTTGCAGACCGGTTACGAAGAATTAATGATTAACCGATAAAGATAACGGTTACGCAGTAACTTTTCAGTCAATTTTTCAAGTATCAGGTCGTTGCAAAGTATGCACTTTCGCAGGCTGTCGCACGCGTACGCAATTTCTGGGCTGTCAACTCGGTCATATCTGGTCTCTTGGTGTGAGAGTATGTATGAATGAGCATGCAAGAGAATGTACATGCGTGCGTTGTACTGAATAGGGTACATTTTTTGAATGAGTATAGTCAAATATACGGTTAAAAAAGAGTCCGCAGGATTGCCGTGGCTTATAGGTTATAACCGTTAAACCGACCGTTAGCTTAGCAGTTAACCGTTAGGGGTAAACCCGTGACCGTTTGAGCCCTAGTTTTCACCCCGTCGTACAGGGAGTACATCATGATCGCGTGGCTATGTTGCCATTACACTGGACCAGTACGTTAGTGTACATGCACATGTACTCGGTATGCATTGTATTGTGCATAGGGAAGCCCAGTTTTGTCAGTTTATGTTAGGGATGAAACGATTATACCGAATGCTCGAAATAGAAATCGTTACAAGCTAACGAATCGATTTCTCGATTGTGCATATAGCATACATGATTATACACGTATGATTGTAGATCGGCCGATGTGCGGGAAAAATTCTCTTCTCCACAGGATCAATTTTAAAATTCTATTTTTTTGCATTTTTCAGCTTCTAATACTGCTTTTATCTATGGAAGAAAATTGATAACCGATCGATAAAGGTTTAGGCTATTTCTTAGTCAAAAAATGTAATCGTTTCACCCCTAGTTTATGTATGCAGGCCATGCCCAGTACAATGCTGCTGCATTCTGCTGTATGTTTGACAGGGGTAGCCAAAGTGAAGTGAAGGGTTGCTGTGCCTTGCTATGTCGCTCGCTTGTGTACAACCCCGGTCTCTTGTTTGCTCTCTCTCTCTCTCTCTCACTCTCTCTAGGGAGTTCAGTTCCGGTCACTGAAAAGCGAAAAGTGCAGTCACAGCTCGCCTGTACAAAGTGAATGGGCGCGTCGTGACTGCTGTTCGAGATGCAGTTCGAGGCCCGAGTATCTTCTCCCGCGGCCTTTTCGGCCTTGTCGATGCTATTTTTAGGTAGCTGAGGTCATTACCTTTCCAATGGTGCCACACATGCCATGCTTCCAAAAATAATGCCTCCACGCTTGGCGCGGATGCACTTCGAAGTACTAATTTCGACCAGATCCGTACTCGGCCCCGCGAGGAACACCCGATTTTCGTGTTCAGCGGCCTCGAATTAGCCTAAACCAAGAGGATTCTAGAACATTGAGGCTCGCGCTTTATCTCGGTTGAAGGAAGATGATCACAGAAACCAGCCCACGGCGATTTCCTGGTGGTAAACGAAAAAAATCGAGTGAACTGCGCGCACACTGTAGAAGCAGTGACGGTGAAAACGTGTGACTTGTGCAAGTAGGCGCGCACGGCATGCGTGCACACTGCATGCATGCACACATCCTGTATCGCCGGCGATCGCCATGTATGCACCAGATAGTGCAGTGCTGGACGGAAACCACACGGCTCACATACATACTTGCATTTACTTCTGTGACTACTTTCTCCCCCGTTTTCCGATCTTCAGTCGACTATAACTCTAGATTGCCTTGGAATTTTGGGTTCAAATTTTCACAGGTTGTTTCTCACATCTTCCCGTTTTAGAAAAACTAGCGTTTTATGCGAAACTCCCGAATTTGGTTTTTCGATTGAAGTCCCTACTCTCTCTCTCTCTCTCTCTCTCTCTCTCTCTCTCTCTCTCTCTCCCCCCCCCCATCTATCTATCTATCTCCTCTCTCTCTCTCCTGTATGGTACTTATAGCCGACACTAGCCACTCAGTTGCGCGACATCACTGTAGCAACAGCCAATACTCGTACAAACCGTGGAATGTACCGGAACTTGTTGTTCTACGGCCCTCCCGGTACCGGAAAGACATTGTTCGCCAAGGTAACGCTAGCTCTACCGCTGCATCGTGTGTGTGTGTGTGTGTGTGTGTGTGTGTGCATGCCTATGTGGGTGCGCACGAGCGTGTGTACACAGGTGCATGTGTGTATACGTGCACATGTGCATGAAGTGTGATAGGATGACTGGCATGTTGGTTGACTGCCACGTTTTGGACTTCTACCTCTTTCACTGCTCCTGGCCTGCACGCTGTTGGAGACTGAGCAGTAACTGGTGATGTACTTGATGCAGCACTTCTCTCTCTATGTTTTACCAATGTGTAGAGTCTGGCACGTCGTTGCAAGATGGATTACGCCATCATGACTGGTGGTGACATACTGCCTATGGGCGCCGAAGGTGTCACCGCTATCCACAAGGTCTTCGACTGGGCTAAGACTAGCCGGCGAGGGTGAGTAGGGCCGCCTAGCCAGGTACTGTACAGGCAGAACATTTCGTCGGTCAATAATAATTTCGTCCAACTCCAAAGCAAAGGAGTTCGTCCGGTTGTAAATTCGTCCATGGATCATAAGAGTGTATTGAAAAGCTGGACAAGACGACATTTGTCCGGCATTTAATTTAGTCCAAAAGCTCCTTGGACGAAAGAGACGAAATTAAATTCCAGGCGAATATTTCTGCTTGTACAGTACATGATGTACATCTTGGCTTGCTACCGGCTGCGAGCACTAATGTTTGCGGACTATGCTGTTCTTGTCCCTGTTCTTGTTACTGGTGTCATTTTCACTTTCCTCTTTCCATGCCGGTGTATGGCTGGAATGTTCCAGACTGGTCCTTAATGTCTTAGAGCATGGCGCTCAGTCCATTTTGTTGATTTTGTTTGCAGCCATGTCGGTTGAGATATCGGTGACAGCAGTGCTGCTGCACATCTGTCTTGTCTTTGAATCAATCATTTCGCAGCTGGACAATTTTTGGTAGTATCAGTACAGCTCAAGGTCTGTTCGTGCACTCTGGGACTGCGATGTGGTCTGGTGTCTGGCCGTAGCTCTTTGGCCTGCACTGTACGCTGCAATTTTCACAACTCTGTATATCTTCTGTCTCTGTGCAAGCTGCCCCATGATCTGACTTTGATTGTGTCTTGGCATGGCTGTATATGTAATGTTGTTTATAATTATGCGTGTCTTGTTTCAGACTGCTGCTGTTCGTGGATGAAGCAGATGCTTTCCTGAAGCACAGGTCAACAGTAAGTTTTGGTGTGTCAGCAACAGTTAAGCCACAACCATTGCTCTGTTGAAGTACAGTACTGTCGGTGGCCAAAGAACTGGAGGGGGGGGGGGGGGGGGGGAGGGGGTCAGCCTCGTAGCCTAGGCCGTTCTAATTTTTCATGTACTACAGCCTATGCACAGTTGAGTCATCGTGTGTACATTGGCATGCTGTGCTTGGTGAAATTCTAGCCTGTTCGTTCTTCGGCGCCCGGCAGTACTATACTAGATTCAGAGAGCGGACCATGTTTACCTGTCTCACTGAAACGGCGGTTGCGTCGCGCCGACAGGAGCACCAGACACCACAACAATGACCAACCCTTTCTACTACTCGACTAGGCCGAATAGCAAACTCGGAATGAGAGAATGCAATGCAGACAAACCAGCTGCTGCCAAACACGTTAGCGCGTTGTGCTTGCTGCCGATTCTGTGGATAATCTGCTAGAGTTTGCCAGTGATTTCGGTGTGTGCAGGCGTCACCCATTTGTATTGGGAGTGATATCGTTTACATGCTCGTCGAATTTCACTACTGCGCAAGTACGAGCACCTGTATCTGTTGACCTTCTCCTACGTGCACCTCGGCTGCTCAGTCTTTCCCTCAATAATTAACTTCTTCATACACAAGTGGACTATGACGTTTGGTTTGTTTGTCACTCAGAGTTTCATGGCATTTAGCCAATCATGAGACAACAGTCAAATTGAAGTGGGAGCCTAGTGTTGTAGAAGGGGTTATGTGCATAATATTTCAATATTAAAAAGTACATGTTGGGTGTCTCCGTTTGAAAAAGATGCATACGTAAGTTATGAGGAGAAAAGAAACACAATTATTAATGATCTGACTGTTCAAAACCTGGTTTAGTTGGTGGACTAACGCATAACTTATGCTCTCTCTCTCTCTCTCTCTCTCTCTCTCTCTCTCTCTCTCTCTCTCTCTCTCTCTCTCTCTCTTTACTCTCTCTCTCTCTCTCTCTCTCTCTCTCTCTCTCTCTCTCTCCCTCCCTCTCCCCCTCCCTCGTTGCGTGTGTGTGCGTGTGTAGGCGAATGTCAACGAGGACTTGAGAAGTGCTCTCAATGCCTTCCTGTACCGCACTGGTGAACAGTCTGACAAGTAAGCTTAGTGGTGGTACCAGTACCACCACATACATGTACTTGTACATGCTGTAGACCAGCACAACAGTTCAGCTGCACCAGTACCAACAGTACATGCAGGCTGTAGAGCCTTGCAGCACAGTTCAGCTGCACCAATATCCACAGACAGTACATGCAGGCTGTAGAGCCTTGCAGCACAGTTCAGCTGCACCAGTATCCACAGACAGCACATACAGTCTGTAGAGCCTTGCAGCACAGTTCAGCTGCACCAGTATCCACAGACAGCACATACAGGCTGCAGAGCCTTGCAGCACAGTTCAGCTGCACCAGTATCCACAGACAGCACATACAGTCTGTAGAGCCTTGCAGCACAGTTCAGCTGCACCAGTATCCACACACAGTACATACAGTCTGTAGAGCCTTGCAGCACAGTTCAGCTGTACTAGTACAGCATCATGCATTTCAGTGTATCTCACCTCTGCATAATCCTTGCATGTCTTTTGTGACCTTCGTTGTATAATTGTTCATTCCTCCCATCCTATACAAGACGTTGTTTTCCCAACAACGTTGAGGTAAACAGATGTCCTCTTGTGTGACTCTTTCTACCCTAGGTTCATGCTGGTCCTGGCAACGAACAAGCCTAGCGACTTTGATCGTGCCATTGAGGATCGTATGGATGACATGCTCCACTTTGGCCTGCCCGATGAACATGAGCGACAGAAGCTGGTAGAACAGTACTTCGAGCGCTACGTCGTGCGGCCTGTACCGCAGAACTCGCCGTTCGCATCCAGGTATGTTCTTACACTGTACTAGTACAGTGCTGCTCAATGAAATCCAGCCGATGCACTCATGTACGCGCCTTGGACCATTTCGAATCCAGTGCCCGCAGGTCTAGGGCTGCGCAACGCCCGGCGCGTACATGAGTGCATCGACTGGATTTCATTTTTGAGCAGGACTGTACTACTGTACATGCATTTCGTACATGTACATGCATACAAATACCGGCACAGACCCACCATTATCGTGTTGTCTGATGGTTGCACGGTTGTGCATGGCACTCTGAGTTACAACCACAGAGCCGTTCTGTTTGACTGTTCTACGCTCTGCCTCCACGGCATTTTGAGCACTCGTTGCACACTAGGTGCATCCCTCGTGCATTATGTTGTACGTGTTCTTCTTGGTCAAGACATTGGTACTATATGCTGGGAAAAGAAAGGACCTTTTTTTTAGCGTCTAGACCAGTACCGTGTGTTGTGTGGTAATGGTGTGGGGGATTGTTTGATTTTTAACTTGTTCGTGTTTGCTTGCCTTGCTTGCTTCTCACAGCGGCAAAAAGATCAACTTGGAGGGCTTCAAGGACATCTCTGAGAAGCTGCGTGAAGTGGCTGTCATGACTGAAGGCTTCTCCGGACGCGAGATCTCCAAACTGGCCGTTTCCTGGCAGGTATGGCTGGCGTTGGTGTTGTTTTATCCTTCTTCTTTTTTTTTGACGGAGTGTTGCCGGCCATGGTGGTAGATTCAATGACTGCCCACGCCCATCACGAGCTTTTGTAATGTTTTCTTCCGCCGCTGCATGATGTACCGAAAGTATTCAGGCACCCTAATGTGTAAATGGCTGCAATGGAGTCTGCGAGTACTTAGAAAACTACTGAAACTGCCAGTGATCAAGATGGGGGGGGGGGGGGGCTCAGACGGGAAGACAAGCAGAGTCGTGTGCCAACAGCTCTTTCTTGAAGTGCAGTGGTGCAGCGATTTCATTTCATCGGTTTCCGTGCTTGACTGTGTCCTCTTGTTATTCATCCTTTGCCTCTGGCTTATTTCATTTTTTCCTCCCGTGTGCAGGCAAGTGCGTTTGCTAATGCCGACTACGCTCTAACACAAGATGCATTCGAGGAGCGCACGGTCAAGATGATGGAGCAACACGAACAGAAGAAATCATGGGTTGACTAGAATTGACGGAGCGCTGTGATAATAAATTATGTTGGAAAACCAACCGTATGTGCTTTGTTGTCGTGTTCACACCCTACCTGCACTGGCTTTGGCCAGCTTGGATTGCCAGTAGCGAGTGGTTTCACATCTATCAGACTATCAAATGACCATACGGGACAGCCATGTTTTTTGCCAACTCCACTCAACCCCTGCATCTATGGGTCACATGATGTCGGCCATGTTGGTTCCACTCTCCACATGCCATGATCACGTTCTACACAAATGTAGTCACATGACCAAGAAGATGCGAAACCACTCAATACAAGATTCTTCTCGTCATCCAGGAGCACTGACTGTGCACTGTGCATGCTTGTACGGGCTGGCAGCCCGGGTGGCGTGGTGTTGATTGGAGAGATAATACTCTCAGGTACATCACCAACACTAGGGTGTGTGTGTAGTACATGACTACACGTATCCCACGATGCAAGCCTCCTATCAGCTGACACGACTTAACGCCCTCGCACTTGAAACTATTGCGCTTATAAGTCCACAATACAGTCAGACCTCGCTTAAAGGGGAAGTGCATCAATTTTTCGAGTATGGTCCAGGAGAAAGACAATTTGATGTCGGTTCGAATGGCATATCTCTCGCTTCTATACGATAAGCCAAACTTGCCAAATCGCCAATTGTATGCTCACGTTGCCATAGCGACCAGCGCAGTGATGACGTACGAAAGGCTTAGCTCCACCACAGAGAAGGTCGATCACTGCAGAATTTGGTCATTTTCAATTGGTTTATTGTATCCACGAAGTGAAAGAAGGGCTGTGTTCAATGCTGTTAGTGCAGTGAACTGTTTGTTAGTAGTCCTCTCCGTTGTGTACTGGGACGTGACACCGACAGGAGAAAGCTGGAGTGCGGAGACACCAGCAGACAAGCGAAAATAGTGACGAACAAAATGCTGAAATCTTGGTTGGGACAAATCAGACGTTCAGTATTTCCCCCAACCAAGGACCATGCCGTTTGCTCTTTCCACTTCCTGAAGATGAATGTGATGCTTCCTGGCGACTCTGCTATCTCTCGTAACATCTTCTGAAGCCAGGTGAGACGACGGGTGGTGGAGATTGACGAATGAAAATAATGTCGTAGGTTTGAAAGTTTGCGGAAAATGTCTCAGGAGAGATGGCGAATTCCAAGCATCTTGTCCTGGAGGAAACCATTTCCTAGGCGCAGTCAGCCTAGGGAAATGCATGAGAAGGGCGATAAATAGTTCACGACACTAACAGCATTGAACACAGCACTTTTTTCACATCGTGAATACAATAAGACAATTGAAAAATGACCAATTTCTGCAGTGATCGACCTTCTCTGTGGAGGAGCTAAGCCTTTCATACGTCATCACTGCTCTGGTCGCTATGGCAATGTGAGCATACAATTGGCGATTTGGCAAGTTTGGCTTATCGTATGGAAGCGAGAGATATGCCATTCGAACCGATATCAAATTGTCTTTCTTCTGGACCCTACTCGAAAAATCGATGCACTTCCCCTTTAAAGGGGAAGTTAAGCCTAAAATCAAATTTTCACCAGTTGCAGTCTTCGGGGTGCTGAGTCGAATGGTCTTGGTCCGAGGAAGCTGAGATGCTCCCTTCCTCCTATATTCCCAATCGAACTCGCGCACTTCCACCGAAACTGGGTGACTGCGCCCTACTAGATGGGGATTTGCATGCAAAATGTCACTAAAAGCGCCATTTCGTTCTTATAAAAGCACGGATGACCGCGATTGGCCCATATGTTGTAGTCTTTTGGACGCTATGTCGACTGGTTTTGGTCCGAAAAGGCTGCGATGCAGCGTTCCTCGTTTATTCCCAATCGAACATGGTTGAACAAGCGGTCACGTGCTCATGCGTACACCAGTCACCTGGTCACCGTGCCTGCAAGGTACAACTTACAGCCTGTTTTGACCTTTTTTGGGTGCAGTCCTGTCACTCGAGTTGAACCTTGGTGTGAAAGTTGTCGCCTGCTGGCATCACATCCGTTTCCCACAAAAATATCCGGGTAAGCGAGGGAACCGGATAAACAAACACACATACTGTATGCATGCATGACAGCTGTAAATCGGTAACCATTGATTTTCTTCCGGATGGCGAGGGATCCGGATATAAGAGGACCGGATAAGCGAGGTCTGACTGTACCGCTACAGCTCCCCCCCCCCCCCCCCCCTCACAGGTGCTACATTATCATAATGTACCAATTCAGTAGCAAGGTGACTGGATTCGAAGAGGCGTGAAGTACAGCTGCGTGTCAGTTATCTGGTACCCTTGGGCGTGACGTTGGATAAACCTTTGAAACATTCTGGTCATAAGAATCATAGCTGAAGCTACATGATAGACTTTCTACATAGTCATGTGTTCACACCAGGGAGTATGTTACTACTAGTCCCTGGTTTGAACACATCAAACCGATTGTAGAGCATGGTTTAACCGTACCTCTGATGCTTGGTTTTATTATGCTGAGACGGCCGTTGTGCTCAACTATGACTGGCTTATGCAAGTTACTAACGTGTTGCATAAAGGCAACGCTCATCATACCGACTGTCCACATTTACCGGTACTAGTACTTCAATATTTTCTCTTTACTTCAATTTTTTTAAGTGGAATTCACACGTTCGCTTCACCACTATGTAGGACTGTAAAAGAGACAGTGTGCGATCGGTCAGTGCACTGTAATTGTTGGACAAACAACATCCTGGATCGGTGCTGACCAGGAAGCCCTACACATACGTACACGTATGTAGTATAGCCTTGGGCTCCCTGGTGGTGACTGAACGTCGAATAAGTGACATGCAGCTGTAGTCTAGCAAGACCATTCCCTGGCAAAAAAACTCGGAGTGGAATTGTATGGGCACGAGTCTCCTTAGTGAATCCAGTAGTGTGGATGCATCCACCCAACCCCTCCTCCCCCCCCCCAGGCGCGTACGCAGGGTCACCTCTAGGCCTAGGGGGGTTTCCAACCGAATCGCAAACAATTGCTCGTTCTTACCCTTTCTAAAGAGCCCTACGAATTTTTCAGAATTATGCATTTTTTCGTGTTCTTTGGATCATAACTTCAGTTCTACTCACTCAATCTTCATTATCTTGGGCTTCCTGGAAGTGGAAAGGTACCAGGGAGAGAATGAGGTCGACCATGATCGCCAGGACACAGTACAGTCATGTACATATCCAGCGCTATGGCTATTTATAGCGGTAGAGTGCAAGCGACGGTGCGAAAAAATGCCCCAAACGAAAAAATGCCCCAAACTTTGGGGCATTTTTTCGCACCGTCGCTGCACTCTACCGCTATAGCGCTGGATATGTACATGACTGTACTGTGTCCTGGCCAAAAGCCCCAACGCGTCCTGCTCCAGCGATTTCGTTTTTCTTGATCGCAGAGTTTCGATTTTTTTGGCTGTGTTCTCTTGAAAATATCACAAGTGAAGCCCCTGCAAAATTGAGCAAGTCAGCGCGACGAAAAGTCCCAAATTCTGGATACTCCAGTCGGACTGCGCACTTTTCAAAATGGAAAATCGCGGCTCTATTACTTACGTACGAATGATTTATCTCAAGAGACATTGCTCGCAGCGCGTCGAAAATTGTTTCAACGGACAGCTGAGAGTTTTCTATTCGACCTGGATATTTGGATCGTTGGATTTGAGCGAGATTTGACTGAGTTGCGATCTGTTGAAGTTTTGCATTCTTGCCAGATCGATCGTGGGCCCTACCAAAAATGCCCCAAAACGTTGCTCGTTTGGAACATTTGGGGGGTTTCCGGGCAACGGGAAACCCCCCCTGCGTACGCGCCTGCCCCCCCCCCCCCCCCCTCTGCGTGCAGGCCTACCATTGCCATAGGGCTTGAAAGTGATGACGTCAAAAACGGCCAAAAAGTAATAAGTTGACATCAGATTTCTATTTTGGATCCACTAAGGTGTGACTTTGCTATTGCCTAAGTATGTGGGTGCATAGCAACCCACTCATGTCGTATGCAGGGGTGACTTTTATTTCGCCACCAGTTGTCACCCCGCCCCCATTAGCCAAATCAGTCAGTTTCACTGGCTACATCACCTTGTTGTGAGTATGACCGCTTGAAATGTGCTTGGATCCATACAAAAACTGGATCCAAGTGGATCCAGTTTTTGAATTTTTGAAATTGTTGCTATGCTGTGACGTAGCACTTTCAAGCCCTATTGGAACCAAGAGTATAATTATAACGAGCAACCATCAGGGAGTAGTAAAATACCGGTATTTTACTACTCCCTGGTACGAGCATTGAACAAGATGAGTGAAATACAATACATGTACTGTCAATAGCAAGAGCCAGTGAAGTCGTTGACAGTAGCCGGTATAACAGTGGATTTTTTTCCATTTGAATGTGTTGTGTTCCTGAGTTTCCTTTCTGTCCTCACATTTTGTTGGGCTTGAACGCCTTGAATATTATATTATGCCAAGCGATACATATAACAATGGCCCTTGGCCCCTTACCTACATAACAGTATGTACTAACATGTTTTTCGATTTTGACAGCATGTTACAAGGCGAGGACGCGTAGTGCTCTTGACTACAACCATAACCCGGTTGGTAGAGTCCCGATCTTGCGACCATTTGAACCGGGACTCTACCAACCGGGTTATGGTTGTAGTCAGGAGTAGGCCTCCGGACCAAATACATGTACATGTATGCTTGCGCATATTTCCGCATATTTTTGTGAGACAGTTCATATTATGGCATATTCAGCGACAAATGGAATATTGGAATGAAGCCAGCATATTCTGAAGAAAATGAGGACAAAACGTTTACTGGGGACACACCCCAGCCATACTATTCCGCATGTGTTTTGATTTGCACCATAAACATGATAGCCGTGAAGCCAATGAATATTAGGCTTTGGCGGATAATGCCGGCAGAAAAATTGGCAGAATTCGGTACTTTTTCTGGTAAGTTTCATGCATGTTTGGTATGTGGATAAAGAAATGGAGCAGAATTCGAGGAATTGCCCGCCATGAGGTTTGTATGGTTCTGCCAATTTCGGTGCAAAAAAAGCAGAATCTGCCACCTTTTCGAGCATTATCCGCCAAGGCCTAATGAATATTCCAAGGTTGTAATTTTACGGAAATGATCTACACTTTCTGCTTACATGTATGTCGAGCATATTTTGGAATATCTTGCTAAGCCTTTGGTATATTATGGACGTTTTCCCTGATATGCGACGAGCATAATTATGCTCTTTTTTTTTAGCATATTTGGTCGAGGCCTAGTCAGGAGCACTATAAGTATAACACTTTTGTCCTCGCCTTGTATAAACATGCTGTCAAAATCGAAAAACATGTTAAAGGGGAAGTTAAGGCAAAAATTAAAATTTCACCAGTTGTAGTCTTCGGGGTGCTGAGTCGAATGGTCTTGGTCCGAGAAAGCTGAGACGCTCCTTTCCTACTTGAATCCCAATCGAACTCGCGCACTTCCACCGAAACTGGGTGACTGCGCCCTACTAGATGGGGATTTGTATGCAAAATGTCACTAAAAGCGCCATTTCGTTCTTATAAAAGCCCGGATGACCGCGATTGGCCCATATGTTGTAGTCTTTTGGACGCTGAGTCGACTGGTTTTGGTCCGAAAAGGCTGCGAAGCAGCGTTCCTCCTTTATTCCCAATCGAACATGGTTGAACAAGCGGTCACGTGATCCTGGGTGCCCAAATCACCTGGTCACCACGCCAGCAGGCGACAACTTTCACACCAAGGTTCAACTCGAGTGACAGGACTGCACCCAAAAAAGGTCAAACAGGCTAGTAAGTTGTACCCTGCAGGCACGGTGACCAGGTGACTGGTGTACGCAGGAGCACGTGACCGCTTGTTCAACCATGTTCGATTGGGAATAAAGGAGGAACGCTGCATCGCAGCCTTTTCGGACCAAAACCAATCGACTCAGCGTCCAAAAGACTACAAGTACAACATATGGGCCAATCGCGGTCATCCGGGCTTTTATAAGAACGAAATGGCGCTTTTAGTGACATTTTGCATACAAATCCCCATCTAGTAGGGCGCAGTCACCCAGTTTCGGTGGAAGTGCGCGAGTTCGATTGGGATTCAAGTAGGAAGGGAGCGTCTCAGCTTTCTTGGACCAAGACCATTCGACTCAGCACCCCGAAGACTACAACTGGTGAAAATTTAATTTTTGCCTTAAAGGGGAAGTTAAGGCAAAAATTAAAATTTCACCAGTTGTAGTCTTCGGGGTGCTGAGTCGAATGGTCTTGGTCCGAGAAAGCTGAGACGCTTCCTTCCTACTTGAATCCCAATCGAACTCGCGCACTTCCACCGAAACTGGGTGACTGCGCCCTACTAGATGGGGATTTGTATGCAAAATGTCACTAAAAGCGCCATTTCGTTCTTATAAAAGCACGGATGACCGCGATTGGCCCATATGTTGTAGTCTTTTGGACGCTGAGTCGACTGGTTTTGGTCCGAAAAGGCTGCGATGCAGCGTTCCTCCTTTATTCCCAATCGAACATGGTTGAAGAAGCGGTCACGTGCTCCTGGGTGCCCAAATCACCTGGTCACCACGCCAGCAGGCGACAACTTTCACACCATGGTTCAACTCGAGTTCAACTCGGGTGACAGGACTGCACCCAAAAAAGGTCAAACAGGCTAGTAAGTTGTACCCTGCAGGCACGGTGACCAGGTGACTGGTGTACGCAGGAGCACGTGACCGCTTGTTCAACCATGTTCGATTGGGAATAAAGGAGGAACGCTGCATCGCAGCCTTTTCGGACCAAAACCAGTCGACTCAGCGTCCAAAAGACTACAACATATGGGCCAATCGCGGTCATCCGTGCTTTTATAAGAACAAAATGGCGCTTTTAGTGACATTTTGCATACAAATCCCCATCTCGTAGGGCGCAGTCACCCAGTTTCGGTGGAAGTGCGCGAGTTCGATTGGGATTCAAGTAGGAAGGGAGCGTCTCAGCTTCCTCGGACCAAGACCATTCGACTCAGCACCCCGAAGACTACAACTGGTGAAATTTTAATTTTTGCCTTAACTTCCCCTTTAACTAATACTTCCCCTACCAAGCAAGGCTTCTGTGCATATACCATAATAACAGTACTACCAGTGGCACATGCTGCGTCACGGCGCTACTTGTCGCCTTCAGTTGCCTGAGGTGTGTAGTCGATGGCCGCGAAGCGACTCTGCAACACACAAGATGCCTTTATAAATAGGACAGTGCACGGCATGCAGTCTCATAATAATCCTGATAATACTAAGTGAACAGTCCTGTATCGGCACAGTTGAATCATTGAATGTTGCTGTCTTCATGGTCTCTGCCTTCGGGTTTGCTGAAAATCTTCGTTGGGAAAGAACACACAGCGCTGTGAACGGTATTGACTATTGTACTACTCCCTGCTGTGAACCAACCCAAGAATCGCAGGTATGACCGGAACTGAGCCGGACGCTTCCACACGGCCGGGCAGTCCAACTGCAGACAACAAGGCGAAGAAGCCAACAATGCGTGTTGCGCGAAGCGACCGGCTGACCATGGTGACGTCGCCTGAAACACGGGACCGGGAACTGCTACATGTACACGGCAAAGCGAGGCCAAAGCCTGCGGTAAGTGGATTCTGTCGGACTGATCGAACGAAGCATCAATTATGTATACAAATATTACTGTACATACTTTCTCCAGAGAGCCATCCGGTCCTGGAGCCCTTCACATACCTGGGAAGGGCTCCCTGATCTGGTCGGCGTGCTTGCTCAAAAGAGGAGCATACTCCACCTACTTTCGTCATCATCCAGTAGCATTCGGCATTCTTTGATGCCGTGGGACGTTCCCCCATACGGTTCAAATTATGTTTTCCCAACTGGCGGCGATGCGCTGCTAGCTGAGAATTTTTTGTTACTTTATTGTTCCGAGTGACAGTGCTTATCTCCGCTCCCTCGTGACGTGAGGCGGCACACTGTGAGACAACTAATTACTACAGTAGTACTTCCCAAGTTCCTATACCATGTCTCAGCCCTACGGACTGGTGGTCCTGTTGGCTTTTTGGAGCCGGACTAGCCGTGAAAGTACCTGAGTGCCAAGTAAGTAACGAGAAGTTTAGCTTCTCGTCTTAGCGGACGTACCCGCGCTAATCCCGGAGAAAATGACGCTCACGTCGCACCACTACCAGTACCACTCTTTATCGTGTCCCTGTCTACATGCCTAACATGGTTTCAGTTGGTTGGTTTATTTTCGCACAATAAACGGGAACTAGGCCCAATGACATAAAGGCGAATGGATAATGGATAAGCCGCATTTAGAAAAGAGAGGACAGGACTTAGAAAATTACGACAGAAGCAGTATCTGTTAGAGGAGTCAAGCGAGTATCAGGGGTGACAGGGTGGTCGAGGAGAGCTAGGGGGAGGGTTAGTCTGAGCAGCAATATGGTAGGCAACTTATGCTAAACTTTTTCTGTCTTGCTATGGTCCGAACGTCATCCGGCAGCAGGTTCCAGAGTGCAGATCCTGCGACGGACGGCCGAGAAGCACCAGAGCGAGTGGAGGATGGCTGACTGAGCAGACCACTGGACCTCTGATGACGGGTTCTCCTGCCAGCAGATCTGACGATCAGTACAGACAACGATTACGTGGCACTAGCTTTACCGTGAAGGCACCTCCAGACAAACGCTATGTATAGGATACTAGTATTGCACGGTTAAAGGGGAAGTTAAGGCAAAAATTAAAATTTCACCAGTTGTAGTCTTCGGGGTGCTGAGTCGAATGGCCGTGGTCCGAGGAAGCTGAGACGCTCCCTTCCTACTTGAATCCCAATCGAACTCGCGCACTTCCACCGAAACTGGGTGACTGCGCCCTACTAGATGGGGATTTGTATGCAAAATGTCACTAAAAGCGCCATTTCGTTCTTATAAAAGCATGGATGACCGCGATTGGCCCATATGTTGTAGTCTTTTGGACGCTGAGTCGATTGGTTTTGGTCCGAAAAGGCTGCGATGCAGCGTTCCTCCTTTATTCCCAATCGAACATGGTTGAACAAGCGGTCACGTGCTCCTGCGTACACCAGTCACCTGGTCACCGTGCCTGCAGGGTACAACTTACTAGCCTGTTTGACCTTTTTTGGGTGCAGTCCTGTCACTCGAGTTGAACTCGAGTTGAACCTTGGTGTGAAAGTTCTCGCCTGCTGGCGTGGTTACCAGGTGATTTTGGCACCCAGGAGCACGTGATAGGCTCCAGCGGATTATGCTCGCGAAATCATGGAATTATGCTTTTATGGATTCTCGCATTATGCTTGCAAGATCCTCATATTATGCTTTGGCATGCGGGGATACATATTCACTTTGTTGTACTTATGGACCCTCAAAGTTCGGAAAATTGTGCCTTTTTCGTACTTGCAAGTGGCCATATTAATACAACAACATGTTACATGAGTACTGAATCCCCATACCAAGGTGTCTGTCCATGCATGCTAGCCTAGAGATCAACATGGAAAAGAGAAAACATTACTTCTTCTATTCATTCGATAACTTCTTTTGTAAAGAGATTTTTCATTGCCGAATCAGTTTGAGTTACCTTCGTAAATTATCATGTTCAACTGTCTTCGTAATTGTCATACTCGTCCACCCTGCGAATAATCAGCTCATCTCTCCCGTAGCTCCACCTCTCCTTCCATCATGACCGAACAACTGTACCTCAATTTATTTAGAGCAATATCCATAGCCTGCACAGTCATGGCTGCTAAAATCCATGACTTCGTAACATGCATCAAGATGTAATTTACGGCCATGATTTCTACCCTGCGGTGCATTGAAAACACTATTATATCTGCATGACCTCTGAACCCTTTACCATGCATACCACCAGCACTGATCAGGTGCATTGCACACGCCTACATACTAGAACTGTGGTACAATCATGTAGTTATGCTCCTACCTCCGAAAGGATGCCAAATTATGCTCCAAATTTTCAACCACCAAATTATGCCAATAATTATGCCCGCATAATCCGCCGGTGCCTAGCACGTGACCGCTTCTTCAACCATGTTCGATTGGGAATAAAGGAGGAACGCTGCATCGCAGCCTTTTCGGACCAAAACCAGTCGACTCAGCGGCCAAAAGACTACAACATATGGGCCAATCGCGGTCATCCGTGCTTTTATAAGAACGAAATGGCGCTTTTAGTGATATTTTGCATACAAATCCCCATCTAGTAGGGCGCAGTCACCCAGTTTCGGTGGAAGTGTGCGAGTTCGATTGGGATTCAAGTAGGAAGGGAGCGTCTCAGCTTCCTCGGACCAAGACCATTCGACTCAGCACCCCGAAGACTACAACTGGTGAAATTTTAATTTTTGCCTTAACTTCCCCTTTAAGAGGGGATTATTTTTCAAATCCCCAAGGCGCGCAGCGCCGCGGGGATTATGAAAAATAATCCTCGCGGACACTGTGCAACATCCTGTATATGTAGACCACACTTTTCGGGTGATCAGCAGCGCTGCATGCAGCATGAACCAGTGCACTGAGTCTGTGAACGTACCGGTACGCGGTAGTTCTGATAATAGTAGTAGTCGTTTGTTCGTCGCCTCTCCAGGTTTTGATCCACTTTATTGGTTTGACTGAGGCGAATGCGGATTGTCACATACTTCTCCCTTTGCTGCACCAGTAGGGGATGCACGGTTGTGTAGGGTGGGTGGCCACATCATCGACTACATGAAGCACGGCCAAGCTGCAAGGATTAGGTAAAGCACTAGTAATTATGCCCGCCATTAAATTATGGTACGTACTTACACGCGTTACACGTAACCATGGCACAGTGTGCCCTGCTCATCCTACGTCATAAATCCCCCGCCTTGTTACCGGGGTACAGAATATTTCGGCCAAGATGGGTTAGGAGAGTCGAGCGTTAGTTGGCGGTGGTAAGACTAAGAGTGTAATACTCATAGTCGACCAAGATACACTGCACTACATGCCCTGATCCAATACTTTGTTTGAGTGCGTGTGCATAAAGTCTTGCTTCTGTTGTCGAGCAGTCAGCCTGAGCGGCGGCGTCTTCCTAGTTGTAATGGTGTAGCACCGACTGCTTGTTGCAGACTTATCTTGCCTCGCGACATCGCCAAGAGAAAGAGAAAGAGAGAAAGGTAGACTAAGACTTAGTAAGAGTGCTAAAGACCACTGCCTTCCGCACACCGGCGGCGTTTGGCGTGCTGCCTCGGTCCTTCTGCACAGACTCGATCAGCTGCTGAGTCGGCGTGCACACGTGGATTACGTTGCTGACATCCTGTACGCTGCTTCAGTTCAGCAAGCGGCGTTCTTTCTCTGGCTCCAGTCCAAGCAGAGCCAAGGGCAAGGGCACATCTATCCCGATAATGGCTCAGAAGCAACGAAATGTAAGTTAAGTTAGTATCTCGCGAGACGTTTTTTTGTTGAATGTCTGTGGCCTTTGTGATTAGGGCCATAGGATAATTGGCTCAAAACCCAATCTCAGCCTTCAGTCGCCATTCTATGGCGCTTGAATGTTCTTAATTTGCAGTGCAGCATGTAACAAGAGACCACCGTGTTCGGAAACAGTGATTTTACTACAACCTCCGTGGTTGATAGTAGGCCTCGACCAAATATGCTTGCGCATATTTCCGCATATTTTGTGAGACAGTTCATTATGGCATATTAAGGGACAAAGGGAATATTGGAATGAAGCCAGCATATAATTCAAATATTCTGAAGAAAACGAGGACAAAACATTCATATTATGGACAAAATGCGTTCAGAAATACCTTTTATCTGATTACCACCCACACACAATGTCGTAACTACAAAGTACAATCATGTACATTGTAACTACATGTAGTTACTTACACGTACGTGTACAATGTACAATGTAGGTCAACCCTTTCTGCTACAGCTACACACTACACAGGCTTACAAACCAACTCTTGCTCTTGCTGCAGATTGTCTTTTAGTTCCCTTGTTCAAGAGTATAGTGAGCGATAATCATTCCATCAGGTGTGCAAGAATGGACTCGGAAGGAAGACGGCAACGTCTGTATGGCCTTCCCTATCAAAATAATAAATTCTACTACTACTACTACTACTCGGATGGAGAGCCAAGGATAAATTTATAGAAAAGAAAAGGGACCAAGGAACTACAAGTTACGCTATAATGTCCACTAACACGGTAACACCACCAGTTACATAGTACATGTATAAGATCTTATGCGATACACGTCATACAGTACGTTTGCCACCCCAAATTTTTCTATATAAGGTGTTTCTGTACCCGCTTTGGGCATTTTGCCACCCCAACTGGCTCCTATATATGGCGGATTTGACGTTATCGCATAACCTCTATACAATCAGCTCATGCGATAAAATTGCACAACACTGACCGACGTACTGACGTTCTACAACTAACTGGCTAGCAGCTCTAGTACATCTTGGATGCGCACTCCAACAGCCTTCCAACTCAGTGGAAGGTTCTAAGTTATAGAAATAACATAAGGAGGGGAAGGTGAGGACGACCAAGATAAGCACGAGCTGAAAGTCTCAGCTGTGAAGGATAGAGGTAATAAGACATGATCTCTTCTCACGTGGCTGCTCTCCATTGCAACTTGATGTAGGGCTGTGG